AGACTCATACTCAATAGGTAAAATGTTCCAAGCACTTGAGTTATAGGTAGGAGAAAAATTTCTGTTAGATTCAATTGCAACTTTTGACCACCAGTAAAACCAAAAATACAGCTTTGCATGTGTTTCTTTCTTCTTTTACTAAAATGTTACTTGTTCACCACCTCACCCCAGTCAAAAGAGTTATCATGAAGAAATCTAACAACAAATATTAGAGAGGATGGGGAAAATGACCCATTGTTCATTGCTGGTAAGAGTGAAAATTAATACAGCCATTATGGAAATAAGTTTGAAGATTGCTCCAAAAATTAAAAATAGAACTATCATATGATCCAGCTATTGACCCAGTTATTTTGCTACTGGGCATATACTCAAAGAACTTCGTATCCTATCAGAAAAGTTACATGTACATCCAAGTTTACTGCTTCTCTTCTGTGCATGATAGTAAGGAAATGGAACCAGCCTAGATGTCCATTAACAGATGAACAGGTGAAGAAAATGTGGTACATATAAAAAGGAAATATTAATCAGCAATAAATAAAAATTAGAGTTATGAAATTTACAGTAAAATGGATGGACCTTGAATCTATAATGTGTCAAGGTGGCTCAAACTCTGAATGAAAAAAAAAAGTTCTTCCTTATATACAGATTCTACCCTATAATGTCTATGAGTATGTATGTAAGCAGGTGTTAATGTGGGCAATGTCTAAAAACTTAGAATTGAGACCTAGAGAAGTTAATATAGGTGATGAGGCAAGACAGAATGCAGGCAGAAGGACACGCGAGTCACAAAGCTAATAAAAAGTTAAGTCATGCTCTAGTTTCAACTCATCGTACCTTCCCTGCCTCGCTTTGTGGACACACGACTCACAATTCCAGGCATTAAAGCAGCAAGAAACATTTCTGCATTTCAAAGTAATCTGACACGTGTTACTCCTCTGAGGCAGTGGTGATGAAAACCAGGCTTTCTTGGTGATTCCTTTGACTATTATAGTGTAAGAGGAATTAGATATGATTTGTCCCTGAACTGACCCATTTGGAAAAAAATGATTTTTAAAAATTTGTTATAGAGGAAAATTTTCCCTTTTCCTCTTCTGCTTGAAATTATATTAAATAGTTCTATTATAATATCATTCAATAAAAATCAGCCTTGCTATATATAAAATGTAGTACGGTGTTTTAAAAAATGAGATATCTCACTAGGCATCATGGTGGAGGCCGCCAGTCCCAGCACTCGGGAGGCATAGGCAGGCATATCTCTGTGAGACTGAGGCTATCCTGGTCTAGATAGTTAGTGCCAGGAGACCTAGGGCTACAGGAAGAGGAGGAGGAGGAGGAGGAGGAGGAGGAGGAGGAGAGGGAAGAAGGAGAGGAGGAGAGGAGGAGAGGGAGGAGGAAGAGGAGGAGGAAGAGGAGGGGAAGGAGGGGAGGAAGAGGAAAAGAAAAAGGAGGGGGAGGAGAGAAGGAGGAAGGAGAAGGAAGACGAGGTAGCAGAGGGGCGGAGGAGGAGGGGAAGAGGAGGACGAGGAGGGGAAGGGTGAGGAGGAGGATGAAGAGGACTGGGAGGGGAGGAGGAAAAGGGGGAGGAGGAAGAGGAGGAGGAGCGGAGGGACGTCGGGAGGGGAGCAGGGGGAGGGGAAGGAGGAGGAGGAAGGGAGGAGGAAGAAGAGGGGGGAGGGGGGAGGAGGGGAACGGGAGGAGGGAGAATGGGAGGAGGAGGAAGAGGAGGAAGAGGAGGAGGAGGGGAAGGAGGAAGAGGAAGGCGAGGGGAGGGAGGAAGAGGGGAAGGAGGGGGAGGAGGAGTAGAGAAAGTTAAAGAGAAAGATAAAACACCTCTTATTTAAAACTATGATTGTAGTTATTCTTACGCATTTCTGCTTACATTTGCATATACTGAAAGTCAATGAATTAAAGAGAGAAGAGAATCCTCATAGTAAATAATTTCCAAGAGAACAAGAACTTAACACTGGGCATAGTAACTATTTGACAAGTTGGAATTCTACATGTGAGGAACAGGAGTGTGGGTTTTGTTGAATGCTTGTAATAGGCTCTGCCCTAGTTGTTAGACTGTGGGAAACATCTATCGCCTTTTCTACCAGAAATTCTTTTATCATTGTCTTTGAGGAAATAATTCATTAAGACAGGTCTCACAGAATTGCAGTCAAACTTCCTAATTCTAGGCTAGTCAAGACTATGAATCAATATCATTTGTTTCTCTCTGAGATTTTGTGCAGAGAGCAGGAAGAACATTCAGAATCAGTTCTCAGCAGTAGCTCCCATGGAATGTCTGTCCCTGGAATTTTGTTTCTTTAAACTTCCCTGACTCCTGTCTTTTCTGAAAAATCATTTCTCATGGTTCCTAACAATGTAATGAACAACTTCACAATTTTTCAGTAAACTTTTACTCTAAGAAAAGTATATGCCTCTTGTTTATAGCAAGATAAGTAGGACAGCATATTTTGCAATTGATCATGAAAATGACAAGAATATATTTTCACCTATCAAATTAGCTAAAAATAGAAATGGCAGAAGATAATTAAAGGAAATCATAGGAAATATGCACTCTGTGATGTTCCTGGGACTATAATTCAATATAAGCTTTTTGTAGTAATTTGGGAAAAATGAATGTCATTAAAACCGAAAATATTCTCAACAAGGGAATTTTGCCCATAGTACTTACTCTATGAAAAGATGTTAATATCCTTTCAAAACTACACAGATAGATCAGCAGAAAGCTTCATTTAAAATGAATTTGAGAATTTTGGTAACAAAAGAAAGCAAATAATCTAAGCATTAATCAATAATGAAGAAGCTAGTAAACGTCTGGACTGTTATATAGTCCTTAGAAACAATGAAACTATCAATGTACACATAAATGAAAAAAATGCCCTCTTCTGTATTTTGAATAAAAAGAACAATTTTTAGGACAAAACAAGGTTTATCTTCAAGTTATATAAAAATCTATCCGAAACATATGTACATATTACAATATAATGAGAGAGTGACAAATTATTTAACATATGCATAATGAAATTTTGAGAGATACTGGAATACAATGATAATCATCAAGGAGTGGAAGTTGAAGGACCATGACTTTTTTCCTAAATAATATTCAATATAGTGAAATAATATTACAATTATAGATATACATATGCATATAAAACTACCAACTTTAATTTTTTATTTTTATTTTATGTGTATGCATGTTAACCCTGATTATATGCAAGTTGCACCCAAATTGTGCAGTACCCAAGTAGGCCAGAGGATGGCTTTAGATGCCCTGGAACTGGAGTTACAGATGGTTGGTTTCCTCGTGCTGGGAACTAAACCCAGTTCCTCTAGAAGAGCAGGCAGTGCTTTTAAGCACTGAGCCATTGCTCCAGTCCCAAACTATCAATTTTAACATATTAAAAGAGAGTAGATAATATCAAGATATACAGAAACAAAAGAAGAAACCAGTCATATAATACATATTTTAAACAGTTGAAAAAAATTAAATGCCCTGATAAAATCAATGTTATTGCAGTATACAAAGTTACAAAATCACCATGCTATTATTAATTATCAATTAGTGAAATGACAAATATTCTTGCTAATGAGTACAATTTCATGAAAAACATATTATGTGGCAAACCAACTGCCATGTGCTTGGGAAATGTCTGCCCGTTTAAACTCACAACTGTCCTGAGAGTTCATTCCATTTCTATTTTTACAGGTGTGACATGGAAGAGATATCAGGGTTAAGTTGCAAAGCTTGTAGTAAGTATAACAAAGCTCTGATGAATGATGAGATGCCAGGAAATCCAGGATGGGGATAGTTTGAGTGGACCTCCAGGGACCTTGGAATGTATACATCTCTGAATTATTCTTCCAATTCTCTACTCATCAGAACAAGAGCTATTTTCTCTGAAGTTCAGAGGATATTAAAGAGAAAAGAAAAAGCATGGTCCTACATCAGCTTCTGGGTCAACCTCGTGACCTGACCTTGCCTTGGCTTTGTCTGCACCAGGACTTTCTGCTTGTGATTCTCCTAGCCAACAGGCTGATGATGAGCCTCTGTAGCTTACAGGGTATGAAACTGAATAAGAAAACCTGATTAAATTCTATAGTAAGTATTTAGAAATCTGTCCTGGACAGCAAGCAGCAAAGGAATGGTGAAAAGACAAACGCAGTTGTAGGAGATAACAATAACTGCTGTATTTATTAACATATTTACATGCACTATCATGGTGTAAATCTTATTTAGAGTTTTTAATAGGACATACCAATTTAATATTGAATTTCTAGTTTCTGAGAAATGTCATACAAGGCTTTAAACCATACTTCGTTTTCTGTTGCTGATGATGTTTTAAACATGAGATACAAAAGCTTATGCAACTTTCCCTGCTTTACGTGGGCTAATGTTTACTGGCACCCGCATGGAGAGGAAAGAGTTCACTGCAAGAAGATGACATTAATTATTTAACTAGGTCAAGTTAATGATAATTTAGTTCAGTCCCTATTTACAACATCAAAAGTACATAGTTCATGTTGAAAATTTAATTGTATTCCACTATGTCTTACCTATTAATAACAAAGTATGCTATGAGGGTGAAACTCATTAGATTCTGCAGATAGTAAACGAAAAAATTGTATTAGGATTTCTATCCTTAATTACTTTCTTTTTCAGTCTGCAACAGATCTATACTTCATCCTTAACAAGTAAAATTAAGCAGTTCTTCAAAGATGGCTTAGTAGTTTATATACTTGTTGTATGTGTGCAAGTGTATCAGTGATGAGTATTAGTAGTAGTGTTCATAAGTTTTAGAAGAAAAATGAACTTGAAATGAGCTAACTATCTCAAAAAATATTATATCTCCGTTCCTCTTATGAGTTGACATCCATTTTTTTAACATACTCATCTCTCTGCCCAAGTCAAATAACATTTCTAAGCAAGTCATTCTTGTTATTTAATTAGTTACTATTAAGTGAGTCAATGATAATGATATTATCCTTGAACTTACCCTGGCATCGGTCCATTTCCAGCAAGACTGTAAACCTGACGAGGATTTAGCAGATACTGGAATTTTCTGTAAATTCTATAAAGGTGAAAATATGGGGAGATTTAGTGAAAACCTGTAATAATTTCAAAAATTACTACCATACCTCAGTATTATATTTATTATTGATATTTGTTAATTCATTATTAACAATATTAGATACATAACAGTTCAAAGAACTAAGGGTACTCAAAAAAGGACATGAGCATTATAGAGAAAATA